GTAGGATTACTTACACCGTTCGACTACGCCGTTGCTTAAAGCTGGTTTTCATCGCGGAACAGCACGCGAAACGACGGCCGCAATTTCTGATAACGAATTTTTGGCGGAAAAATAACTTGACCTTTGGAGACATCATTAATATAAATAATTTTTATGGACGTTGAATAAGAAGTGTTTCTTTCACAAGAAATGTATAAAATTAGTGCTGTATTAGACTTACGGTACCTAATTTACATACTGTGCAGACGATAATAAACTCAACTTACTAGCCTAAAATCTCCGTAGCGTGTTGCCAGGTGGCAGAAAGTATATATATAATTATAATAAAGTTACAATAAATTAAGTTAATATATAATTATATATACAGTACCTAATTTATATATAATACTGTACAGACGATAGTAAAATCAATTTACCCGCCTAAATTCTCCGTAGCGTGGCGCTGGATGGCAGAAAGTAGTTCGGCTGCCCGATGACGTTTTACCGAATTATAGGAGTTTTTTTTACCAGGTTTGTACAGATACCGTCGCAATTTTTTCGCCATCTTATAGGAATCGTAATTATAGGAATCCGTGTTATAGGGAGGCGTCTACTGTAGTTAACTCATTTGCATACTCGAACATTTCACTTATAAAAATCTTTTCACTGTTAATTAAAATAATCAAATATGTATCTAAGAAGATTATTATTTTGTAAGATCATCAATGTATTACATGCATACACACCAGTACGTTGTCGATTAGACTCAGCTTTTTTACATTTTTCTCAAATTAGAAGTTACCGTGGCGGGGCTGAACGTCAATTTGCACGGCCGTTCCACGGCATGCAAATTGACGTCCGGCGATCTATTACCACCGATTTTCCTTAAAATGAATGTCTTTATTGTCAAACAAATATGTAAAAATTCTTCAGCATCGTACCTTAACGCTACCATCTCGAAATTCCCTCTTTTAGCTCAATAAATCAGTGCTTATGATTGATAAGAAAATTTTTTGCTACAGAAAATGTTCAAATGTAATGTCAGCGCAATTTGCGAGAGAGAAAAAAATTGTCAGAAATAAAGTAATTGCTCCGCTTTTCGCCAGCGATTTGTTCTGTGTGAACCAATCTTAACAGTAATTTGAATACGTGCAAAAATGGATCATTTTAAAGAAATTATCTTCTGTATATAACAAGAAAAATTTTACATATCCAATTTCTTGTAAATTTGCATTTATAAGTTTTGAAATTAACTTTTAAAGGAACTTAATCACTAAATCTTTTATTTCGTGCATCATAAATGCAAAAGAATTGTATAATGGTGAGTTACAGGTGTGTGAAAAAGAACTGATGGATTACAGAAATTTGTATTTATTTAAAATAAACAGATATATCCCTAATTAATGAGCAAACTCTTACTAATGCAAAGATTTCTCATCTTTAAGAAATCTGAATGTGCACACCATGTAAAAGATCTTTAATAAACCCAAAAAGGAAGAGGAATAGAAATAGTATTGGTCCATTTTGCCTTATCCACCAATTAAGAAAAACATCACTCAAAAATTCTATTAGTAGCAACAGTAACATCTTGTCTTTGTAATGCAGAAAAAATTTTGTTTCACTAACAATTACTGAAAATCATGTATGTTGATCTGTTTTCCCTATATACATAATACTTTTCATTATCTGTCAGTTCTTTTCAGATATCTTGTAAATATGTATAATTGATAAATCATTCAGAGGATTTTCTTAATATATAAGAATCAATAAATTATACTTACTTTTGGTTTTACGGAATTTTTTCAATTTGATGATTGAAAACTCTCTGTCTTGGTCTCCAGTTATACAAGTAGCAACATGAATGTGTTGAGAATATCGTGTAGTAATAACTTTTTTGGTAAGACCATTCGCCAAACAAGTTCTCGACATGTGATACATCTGTGTTGCTATTCACTTAAATGCCCACCAGCGGCCAAGCAAGTCTTTGTACCCTGAACACTGGTAGTTCGGTTGTGGGTTTGCGCCTCACTCGGACGGAAATTTTCCAGGTTTTCTCGTCTGTAATGCCTAAATAGGGGCAGTTTCCCTTAAGACCTCCCGGAAGGCATCCCCTAGGCAGATTGCCCAAGTGTTGCATTTCCATAACTTAACTGACAACAATAGTTACTCACTTAACTGAAGAATAGGCATCCCGGACTGATTTGGCAAGAGAATCTACTAAGGTATTACTTTGTTTACCAAAATGTGTAATTGTTAGTTTCACTGAGAATTCCTAATAAAATTCTCCTTTATTAAAGCAACAATAATTTATGGTATTGCTCTTAAATAAATTATCGTTATGTGAAAATTCCATTAAGTGCATCACTTAAATAACAATTAACAATATTAAATTTTTTTAAATAAATGTTTTACATTAATCAATGTTTAAGATAAAATATTTCTAAAAAAATTAAAAAAACAATACAAATTTTCATTTAGAAAAACTTTATTCATTTTATTATTATTTTAAGACAACACAATCTTTACTTACAATTATTTATGGAAATAATGAGATTGATATTTAAACTATTAAGAGACAATACACAAAATGATTTACATAAACTTTAAATAAACAAAATTTCATCATTTCATGTTCATATATGACTTTTTTTTTATTTATAAAATAGGATTTCTTTATAGTAATGACTTTCCACATTTAATAAAATGTAATTATGAATTCCTATAATTCAATACAAACACAATACATTTACATACTACAACAGAAATAACCGGAAAAGATACGAAAACAAATAGTGAAAAACAAACACAGAATTTAAGTTGTATAGCTGTTACAAGAATTCTTTTATAAGTCAATTTATCAGAAATACTGAATTAAAACTCAAAATGTAAAAAACATCTTCAATAATAAGGCCTGCGTGGATTATTCTGTAAAAAATTTTTTAAAAATACATAAATAACTTTTTAAAAGCAATTTTAAACACTTTTTAACTAAATATATAATTTCTGCAGTATTAAATTTATAAGCACTATCTCAATTCAATGCAATTTTGCCTAATAACTAATAAGAGAATCCAGCTGAAATTTATTTTTAAAAAACACTGAACTTTTTAATGAATCAGAAGTTTATTCTGATAATATGAAATGTTGGATTATTGCCAAAGATATTTAAGATAATTATTTTATACATTATATATATTTTATATTATTACACACATCAAACGTATGTACAATGTCTGTCTCAAAAGTAAGTGTACTGAATTTTTATTTCAAAGTATACAAGAGTTACATCAAACTACAAGTAATCTCCTTCAAAGTACGACCCTTGCAAGGTCACACATTGGTTCCAAAGTTTTTTTCCACTGGTCGTAGCAGTACTTGAAGTCATTTTCCATAAAGGTGTTTAGTTCATCGGTTGCAACTTTTTTGATGTTTTCCACTGTCTCGAAATGATGAACTTTCAACTTAGATTTTATCTTAGGGAATAGGTAGAAGTTGCACGGAGCTAAGTCCAGGCTGAAGGGAGGTTGTGGGAGTGTGGGGTTTTTTCTTGGCCAAAAAAACTCTCAAATTGATAGTGCTGTGTGAGCAAGCACATTATCATGGTGTAGCATCCAATCTTCTGCAATGTCGCTGTGGATTTTTTGAAGTCGTTCCAAGACATCTTTATAGAAGGCCTGATTAACTGTCTGTCCTAAAGATAATAATTCTTTGTGCACAAGTCCACAACTATTGAAAAAAACAATAAGCATAGTCCTTACCCCAGATCTTTGTGTCATCTAAACACCATATTTCTCAAAAAAATGGTATCACCATAAGTTTCAGTTAAATCTGCAAATGTCTTGGTTGCAGATTTCTTGAGTTTCACACAAAACTTGATAGCGTAATGTTGTTTGAGATTTTTCTCCATTTCAAATGTAACAATGTGTTTAAACACTATCTTACACAGAGATTGTGTAAGATAGTTTCAAGTTAATTGGTTAAGTCAAACAGGTCTAGACATGCTTCTAAGATATATAGCAATGTGAAAATATCAATTAATCATGTGTTAAGCTGTACAGTCATTAAATAAAAAAATCAGTACACTTACTTTTGGAACAGACCTTGTATGTATGTATGTATGGCTTCATGATACTTCTTGTGTGATTTTTATTGGTAAAATTTAATTAATGAGCAATATAAATAGATAAATAAATATTATTTATTTATCTATTATAAGCAATATAAATAGATAGATAATAAATAAATAATATTTATTATCTATCTATTTATATTGCTTATTTATATTTTTTATTTATATTGCTTTATTTACTATCTATCTATTTATATTGCTCATTAATTAATTCTTTACCAATAACATTACAAGATTGTCAAAGGAAAATAGTTAGACGGCTACAGAAATCTCATCTGTTGTCACATTAAAAGCAATGGCATTGGCTAGTTTGCACTTTTTTTATGCAAATATTACAAAATAATTAGGGAAAAGAACAACCTCTCACACAACACAGTGGACATTGGTACATTCCAGAATGCATCAGTCTCAGCCACAACTGAAGCATCAGTGAACAGTTTAACAAACTTTTACTGGAACGTTTGGCAACCTAACAAAATGGCGGAAGCAAACAGTAATATATTGGCACTTGAAGACTTATATTGTCAAAATAACTTTGTATTAATAGAGATGAATAGTAAAAATGATGACAATAATAAAATATTTTCATTCACTGCTACTGTTGCTATGGTAAAGCCTACAAGAACTTCTCTCTATACAAAAAGGATAACATTTCATACTCCATTTTCAAGCATAGTCTTCTAATTACTACTAGTGACACAGCCTGTGTTTCAATTAGATATATTTAAAAAAATTTTAAATTACTGTCAAATAATCTTACAACATATGGGATTAAATAATATTACATGCCAATCATCTTATTCAATTTTTATGATTATTTTATATAGTCGCTAAATATAACCATGGAAGAGGCCATATTGCTTCATCAGAGTTCACTATATTCACAACCCAATGAGTGCAATGCACATTGGTTGCTGCACTGGTGAACTCATTGGTAAAAATTGGGACAAATTTTTGTATTCATCAATGCACTGTTTGATGCATACGGGAATTGCAACTAATAGCAGCAAACATGCAAGTTATTTCAAAAATGAAAATAGGTATGCTGAGACAAATTTCAGAATTTGAGCTCAAATCATAGCATTAGTCTAGAAAGATCTATTATTTCATCAGGAATGCCAATGTGATGTTTTCAGCTGTCTGTAAGACATGAATCATTACCAAGATATTTGGTCTGTATCTAACAGACCCAGAACAGGCTGCCCATATGCAATGACAATGCTCCTGCAGAAACCAACAAAGAAATGCTGCACAGTTGAGAAATGACTTTATATCAGTAACTGATAGGATTTCATTGCAAGAGACTATTGAAACTTGGCTTGATACTGGTGGCCCGTTTGCAAGACATCCATGACAAGTTTTCCACTAAACCCCAACACCCCTGGGACTGTGATACAGATGAGCACAAGATGATCAGCATAACTGGAGCCATATAACCTGATAATGACCAACTTAAATCTAAGTGCTTTAATATTTTTCCCCTATACTGTAACATTCCAACTTTACCTAATTAGAAATTTTTTTGAGTTATGAAAAACTTGAACATATACAATTATTAGAATGAACAGTTTTTATTTCAGTTAAATAAAAGTAAATTTTCTGAAATATACTTGAGATTTATAGCAACTATTTATCCAAAAGTTCAATATAAAAATGAGATAGCTTATAAGTATATAATATTCAAATATAATAGTTTATTTGCTTATTTCTATCCCGTTAAAGCCAAAAATATTTAGAGCTAAGTCCAGGCTGAAGGGAGGTTGTGGGAGTGTGGGGTTTTTTCTTGGCCAAAAAAACTCTCAAATTGATAGTGCTGTGTGAGCAAGCACATTATCATGGTGTAGCATCCAATCTTCTGCAATGTCGCTGTGGATTTTTTGAAGTCGTTCCAAGACATCTTTATAGAAGGCCTGATTAACTGTCTGTCCTAAAGATAATAATTCTTTGTGCACAAGTCCACAACTATTGAAAAAAACAATAAGCATAGTCCTTACCCCAGATCTTTGTGTCATCTAAACACCATATTTCTCAAAAAAATGGTATCACCATAAGTTTCAGTTAAATCTGCAAATGTCTTGGTTGCAGATTTCTTGAGTTTCACACAAAACTTGATAGCGTAATGTTGTTTGAGATTTTTCTCCATTTCAAATGTAACAATGTGTTTAAACACTATCTTACACAGAGATTGTGTAAGATAGTTTCAAGTTAATTGGTTAAGTCAAACAGGTCTAGACATGCTTCTAAGATATATAGCAATGTGAAAATATCAATTAATCATGTGTTAAGCTGTACAGTCATTAAATAAAAAAATCAGTACACTTACTTTTGGAACAGACCTTGTATGTATGTATGTATGGCTTCATGATACTTCTTGTGTGATTTTTATTGGTAAAATTTAATTAATGAGCAATATAAATAGATAAATAAATATTATTTATTTATCTATTATAAGCAATATAAATAGATAGATAATAAATAAATAATATTTATTATCTATCTATTTATATTGCTTATTTATATTTTTTATTTATATTGCTTTATTTACTATCTATCTATTTATATTGCTCATTAATTAATTCTTTACCAATAACATTACAAGATTGTCAAAGGAAAATAGTTAGACGGCTACAGAAATCTCATCTGTTGTCACATTAAAAGCAATGGCACTGGCTAGTTTGCACTTTTTTTATGCAAATATTACAAAATAATTAGGGAAAAGAACAACCTCTCACACAACACAGTGGACATTGGTACATTCCAGAATGCATCAGTCTCAGCCACAACTGAAGCATCAGTGAACAGTTTAACAAACTTTTACTGGAACGTTTGGCAACCTAACAAAATGGCGGAAGCAAACAGTAATATATTGGCACTTGAAGACTTATATTGTCAAAATAACTTTGTATTAATAGAGATGAATAGTAAAAATGATGACAATAATAAAATATTTTCATTCACTGCTACTGTTGCTATGGTAAAGCCTACAAGAACTTCTCTCTATACAAAAAGGATAACATTTCATACTCCATTTTCAAGCATAGTCTTCTAATTACTACTAGTGACACAGCCTGTGTTTCAATTAGATATATTTAAAAAAATTTTAAATTACTGTCAAATAATCTTACAACATATGGGATTAAATAATATTACATGCCAATCATCTTATTCAATTTTTATGATTATTNGGGCAATTTTAACTGGTTATAAATAACTAATAAATATATATATTTTTTAAATTTAAATCAGAAGTTTGATATATACTGTTTTGTTGTGAAAATGTTTCACATGTGACAGTACTAATATGAAGATAAAACATTATTTGTCTCCAAAAATGTTTAGGAAATAAAATGTTTCTGGCTTTTAAACTGTTTTATATTTGTGACTAATGTAAAATATGGAGCTGATAAGATCAGCAAAAAATCTTGACTGGCTTAGAGCTTAGATATCTAAATCTACAGTTGATTACTACATTAGTTTAAATGTAATTATAAGCCCAAAACATTTGTGAATAAAAATTATTAATTTTAAATTCTTACTAATGGATTGGGTCTGAATCTATATGCAAGCATCATTCTTTTCCTATATGCTTCATATTCATCATCCCCTGCCTGAATTTCCTCTGGTCGGCCTTGACCAAAACCCGCATTTTCAACAGGTGGAGTTGCTCTATAACAAAATTATTTTTATCAAATTATGTTATAATATTAAATCAAGTTTTATGTTTTACGGTACATACTTGTTAACAGGAGCAACAATACCACTTCCATCTGAACCTAATCCTTGTCCTTCGTTCCAACCAAGTTTTTGCAACATCTGATAACCAATGTTATCCGATTGTATTTTATAATCTTTATAATCGGATAAATCAGGCATGCGACCTTCCTTAATAGCATCCCATTTTTCCATAAACCGTTCTAGTTCATCTGGAGGTAGAAAATCACCTATATGATGTTTACCTTTTCCTTTCTCTGTCAGTTCATCTGCCCAATCTAAATCAAATAAAGATAATATTTTTTAAATAACGATTTTTTAACTCAAAATATAATAATCAACTGTTATACAAACTTTAAAACACATATTACCTTTTGTTTTATCCATTTCTTTTTTGCGTTTTTTATGTTCCCATGTCCCACCATCAATTTCCTCATCTGAATCATATTCATACTGAAATTTTCCAGCTTTCATTTTTGCTTCAAGCTGTTTTTGCTTAATTTGCATCATTTCATATAATACTCTCATCTAGAAATTAAAAAAATAAATAAAATCTCTAACCTAAGAATTAAAAGAAAAAAAATCTAATGAATACATAGCAAAATAATTAACATTAGTAAAAAAAAAACCCAGCTGAACTATTATCATTAGAGAGGATGCGGCCAAAGTTTTCATCTGTAAAACTTGAAAGTCGAACATTGAGCGCCGCTATCTTGTAAGCGGCACTCGGCGTTCACATTTTAAAGATGAAAACTTTGGCCGCAACCTCGCTATTAACAATAATAAATAATTTTTCTAAAAACTGTAAATTGTAACTTTAATAAATCATAATTTTCATTAATATTTAAATGTACAAAAAGATAAAAAGTAGAATAAATTTTATTTAAGTTGTATTCGAGAATTAAATTAATAATTTAAAAATATAATAAAATTATATTAAAAAATGATTCAATGTTATTTTCATTTTGTAAACTATATGTAAATTTTATGATAAGCTTTGTTTTTAAAAAGAATAGACAGGTGGTTGTATTATATCTACAGTTAAAATTAGCTCAGTAAACAATTGAAAATATTTGACTTCAATAATTGTCTGTTACCTTCAGATTTTATTAAGTTCACAAAAATATATATAAAAAAAAAAAAAATGCTGACAGTATTACATTTGACACTAATTCAAATAGTAATAAATTGAAAATGAAAATGATAGATAAACAAAAATGAAAAATCATATCATTTAAATATTAAAAAATTTGCCGAAAAATTTTCCGTATTTCAAATATATCAATTTGGCAACAATATTTCTGCATTATACAAATGCAGAAATATTGTTACATTTTATGTTCTCTTTAACTTAAATTCTAAAAGCATATTTATTTTAAAAAATTCTCTATTCATTCTTTTGTTCTTTCAGACAACAACAACAGAAAACCCCTCCCATATCTGTAAATACCATTTTGTTTCTGTGGACGTATCTTCTGGGAAATGCTCTTATCTTTAATTCATGTTATACACAATGCCTGCTTAAATTATAACAACAGATAATAATTTGTATCAATATTATATTTTTTGTGACATAGAAGAATCTTTTAGAAGAATTTCAAAAATCTGTTATCTGCAGTCATTGATTTTTTTTTTACTAGCCAATAGTAAAAAACTATATTTTGTTAAAAGTATTACATAAATTAATCAACTTGTACATAAATTATAAATATTAGTTAAGCTGAAATTATTATTATAACCTTAATTTTTTTTTACTCATCTTTCATTCAAAGATACAATTATTCATTACATTTCAAAAGTATTTGGTAAGCAAAGAAATTTTTAACATTTTTTATGAATACAATTCAATTAACTTTCTTATAATACTATTTTTATTTTTAATTATTATTTTATATCCAATATATTACTCCAATTTTCTTACAGACGACAGAAAATTTCAATGATATACTTTTGACAAAATAAAAATCATATGCTGTCATTTAAATTTTATATATATGTAATAATTATATTTTTTAAACTCTATCTGACATTGTATAAACCATACTTAATCAAATCTATATATTAAATGTTATTTGTAATAAATTTCTTACTTTTTGTTGATCTTCTAATTGTTTCCATTGTGAAGGAGTTAAGTCAGTATTTCCAAATACTTGTACAGCATAAGATACAAGTCCTGGATCTAAAAAATGAATTTATCTTAAATAAATATTTTATATATATATATATAGCAAATTTTTTCCAGTAAGTTTTTCCACATGCTCTTACAAGCCATTTGAGTGAACTATAACTAATATAAAACAATTTACCTTAGACAATTTGATATACATATCATGATCACAGAAGACGATCTGTCCAACAAAATAAACTTTACAAGATCATTTTTGATGAATTATTAGTCATTTTTGTTGACAATTAAGACATGATGTGATAATTGTCATGCTAGAAACATTGCCATAAAGTGAATTATGACAACTGAAGTAAATTTATATACTTAAAATGACATTCCTAGATTGATTGTAAAATGCTTTTGCTTTATTTACATGTAACAGTATTAGCTGCCACCATTTTTCTACTGAATTGGAACTATGGAACTAAAAATAATGTCATTACCATGTTGATTTCTTTGCTTCATTTTAAAAACTCTACAGTGCAGAAATCCATTTTATATTTATTAAACTAACATCTATCAAAATTTAATTTATCATTAAATTATCTTCAAGTTAGAAAACCATATTAACAGTACATCTTTCCTTGAATGAGATATAATTAATATAAAGCAATTTACCACAGACAATTTGACAAATATACATAGGTAGTTCAATATTGATCTGGAATTTATTGACCTGTGACCTGCTCAGTACAGTAGGAAAAGTTGAAATAAAAATGGAATGTGATAAATCAATCCATCCATGGAAGACAATGTCAGGTTTGGCATTTATGTCGCAACCTCGCAACCATAGTATATAAGTAAGACAAGATGGAGTCCATTGCTGTTAGTGCTAGCATGAAACAGTAATGTATCATCAAATTTCTCATCAATGAAAAGTCAAATTGATTGACATTCATTACAGTTTGGTGAATTGACTATCAAGTTCCACAGTCTTTGATTGATCAGCAAATCTTTTGAAAGCAGAGAAACAGTTACTAACCTTCTCTATGTTCATATGTAACCCATGCAGTGACTGAAAGCAACATTCACTGCACAGAGAAGCTCATACTGGCCAACCAGCACATGGCACGCATGATCTAACCATAGGCAATAAATGTTGGGAGTATTGAGAGCATTATCCATGAAAACTTGCTGTTTCAGAAAGTGTTTGCCCAATGGGTCCCTAAAATGCTTGTTCTGAACAGAAGAGACATCAGGTGAGGTTGCTGGGGTCCATCTGGAAGGTTTTGCTATGAGAGTCAGATATTCTTGGATGTGATGACATGTGATGAGATCTGGGTTCATCATTTCATCCCAGAGACAAAATAGTCAAGCACACAATGTATCATTCTGATGTGCCTCTGCCAAAAAGTTCAGAATAGCTCCATCTGCTGGAAAGGTAACGGCAAGCATTTTTTTGGGTGCGGAAGGTATTATCTTGATTAATTTCCTGCCATACAGTACTACCACACAGTTCTCTGTGGAAAAAGTGCATATTTCTGTTCACAAAAAAGATCTGAAAAAAAAATATCACTAAATACATCCAATTCTTGCATAACAACACACGGCTCCATACAATGCATCTGACTGTCATCATGTTGACTAAGCTAAAATGGGAAATGCTCAATCATCAACACTACAGTCCTGATTTAGCTCCTAGTGATTTTCATTTGTTTGGCCCATTGAAAGAGTCCTAGGTGAAATGATATTCTCATCAGACAAAGAGCTCTAGTATTGTGTCTGGCAGTCGAAACATGCTCAGGACAAAAACTTTTATGCTGCTGACATCAACAAACTAGCTAAATGATGGAAAAAAGTATTGATGTGCAGGGTCTGAAATTATCTGAATTTAGAGATTATCTGAAGAAAAACTGAATACTGCCATGCTTTTTGTGTTCTTTATATTGCCATAAAAACAATGAAGTCCAGGTCAACCTTGAACCACCATTATATGTACCGTACATCATGATCATAAAAATTTATTATTAAATTTAGAACTTACAAATGTATCAATTCATCACTGACAATTATAATTTTATTGTATATTCACTACTTATAACATATTGACAATTTTCTAACTTGGAATAATTTTAGCAATCAAAACTTTTACAATTCTTTCTAGACTGCATATTGTAATATCAACACACTTACTAAAACACCTTTACTTGCAGCCGACGCTTTATTATAATAACTTTCAAACGTTTTCGGTCTTGTTAAAAGACCTTTCTCAAGAAAATAAAATTAACTAAGTAACAAAATAAACACCACAATCGTAAATCGAACGCTTAGTACGAATAACTGTTTTTCTTTATTATAACAACTTTCAAACGTTTTCGGTCTTGTTAAAAGACCTTTCTCAAGAAAATAAAATTAACTAAGTAACAAAATAAACACCACAATCGTAAATCGAACGCTTAGTACGAATAACTGTTTTTCTTTATTATAACAACTTTCAAACGTTTTCGGTCTTGTTAAAAGACCTTTCTCAAGAAAATAAAATTAACTAAGTAACAAAATAAACACCACAATCGTAAATCGAACGCTTAGTACGAATAACTGTTTTTCTTTATTATAACAACTTTCAAACGTTTTCGGTCTTGTTAAAAGACCTTTCTCAAGAAAATAAAATTAACTAAGTAACAAAATAAACACCACAATCGTAAATCGAACGCTTAGTACGAATAACTGTTTTTCTTTATTATAACAACTTTCAAACGTTTTCGGTCTTGTTAAAAGACCTTTCTCAAGAAAATAAAATTAACTAAGTAACAAAATAAACACCACAATCGTAAATCGAACGCTTAGTACGAATAACTGTTTTTCTTTATTATAACAACTTTCAAACGTTTTCGGTCTTGTTAAAAGACCTTTCTCAAGAAAATAAAATTAACTAAGTAACAAAATAAACACCACAATCGTAAATCGAACGCTTAGTACGAATAACTGTTTTTCTTTATTATAACAACTTTCAAACGTTTTCGGTCTTGTTAAAAGACCTTTCTCAAGAAAATAAAATTAACTAAGTAACAAAATAAACACCACAATCGTAAATCGAACGCTTAGTACGAATAACTGTTTTTCTTTATTATAACAACTTTCAAACGTTTTCGGTCTTGTTAAAAGACCTTTCTCAAGAAAATAAAATTAACTAAGTAACAAAATAAACACCACAATCGTAAATCGAACGCTTAGTACGAATAACTGTTTTTCTTTATTATAACAACTTTCAAACGTTTTCGGTCTTGTTAAAAGACCTTTCTCAAGAAAATAAAATTAACTAAGTAACAAAATAAACACCACAATCGTAAATCGAACGCTTAGTACGAATAACTGTTTTTCTTTATTATAACAACTTTCAAACGTTTTCGGTCTTGTTAAAAGACCTTTCTCAAGAAAATAAAATTAACTAAGTAACAAAATAAACACCACAATCGTAAATCGAACGCTTAGTACGAATAACTGTTTTTCTTTATTATAACAACTTTCAAACGTTTTCGGTCTTGTTAAAAGACCTTTCTCAAGAAAATAAAATTAACTAAGTAACAAAATAAACACCACAATCGTAAATCGAACGCTTAGTACGAATAACTGTTTTTCTTTATTATAACAACTTTCAAACGTTTTCGGTCTTGTTNGTATTTTGGAAATGTTGAGTCGAATTAGTCTAGAATCGATTAATTTTATGAAAGAAAACCTTTCAAACAGCCGTAGTCCGTAAACTATGATTCCTACAAAATTGATTCATAAAGAACAAAACGTATCTACCGTCTTATAGGGGGATCTACTGTACTCAGTGTTAGATTTGAATTTGCTGGAGTCTTATCATTACGAAAATATGATGAAGTCAGAAATACAGAAAACAAAAATTTTTTTAATTTTAATGCTTTACTATGTGTAATTATGTCATCATTTTATTTTATTTTTTTTTCTTCCGCTTCTGTCTCATCATCATCATTCATTTCCTCAAGACAATATTTTTATTCTTGTCAAAAGGCAACAAAAGTTAAAATAATTTTTTATAAAAATTATAAGTTTAATTCTTTCAATTAATGATTTTAATCATTATCTTGATGATGCTTTCTATTATTTAACATGATTACACTATAGTTCACAGTATATTCTCAAGTATCCATGCATGCTTACATCGCGATAAAAATTTGTCAGGAATACAAATATTAGCATTAAAATAAATGTGTAGTTGTTTTAATGCTTGCTATTTAAAATGGTATATTCAGCATCACAATTACTTCCAGAATGTCAAGGCATAAATTAAATGGCCTAACAAGAACAGTAAGTGTAGTTGATTCTTGAACAATATGACTTTACTAATGTTCATAGTGTATTTTTTTATTTAATAAATTTTAAATTATTTGATGAAAATATTTCAAATCATTTCCTTATTAAGAAATCATTAATATTGCAAAGTTAATGATGTTTTGCAATGCTATATGGCTAACACCATGTCATTCCCAATTAATAATACAAGAAATTGATAGTGAACTGTAAACTAGTTAAATAGATTTTTCTGAAGTTTCTGTTTACATAAACAGTTTTATTCAACTCTAATCACACCTAAAGATTATTAATTAATTATTTAATTAAATTATTATTCTCAAAACAATAGTTTATATATTATGAATAAAATACATACTAAATTTAATATAAAATTATAAACTGAATAAAAGAAAAATCAATTAGCTTTCATTACCAGCAATTAGCCTGGATAATATACTGTATTTTAGAATGTATAAAGATTACAAAGAAAAACAAACATTAAAATTTGACTTGTATTTATCACGTCTAAATATAGCTTTTACAGAAAATATTGTCATCATAAAACAATCATCATCTATGGAAAAAATAAACAACAGAAATCTGCAATATATTATATAAAAATAAATATTTTTCAACGTTTTTGCATATATAGTTTGCCATATTTAGCAAAAATTATCATAATGATGCATAAATATAAAGCATCTTAACAATCATGGCAAGTTATTTATAATTTATAATCAACATTCTTAAAAGTAAGTTGATTATACATATTCTTAGCAGCATTTAATACCTTGTTGCACAGAAGGAGGAAGTATATTTGTTGAAGCACTTTCTTCTTGTGGTCCCCATCTACTTTTTCGTTTTCTTTGTGCACCTTGATTATCTTCTTTATCTGAATATAAATGTAACTTTTCTTCTAAGTTAAATATCAAATTTAAAATATTAAATTTTAAACTAAATTCAATAATCTTAATATAAAAAAAATCTAATGATCTAATGTAACACATGTGCAATACCAAATGGTTTGGTATATTCAAACATAAACTCAATTTATTATGTGTGTATGTATGTATGTACAGTACATCATAATAAGATAAATAATAATATCAAACTTGATAAAAAAAGAAAGTCATTGGCAACTTTGAAATTTTTCAAGTCTAAAGAATGAAACTTCTTGTATAAACATCTTACAACTGATACTAATTCAATATCATAAAATAAATATATAATCCTTGCATATCTTAATTTATGCCTCTGCAGTAGCTGTTTCAAGCATTAAAACATTATTTCTATATTTCACTGTATGGTAAATATAATTATAAAATAAATGAAATGAAAAATGGACTACTGAGAGAGAACTTCCTAAATTTCATACACAGAAGATACAAATGCCTATCAAACCACAAAACATTTTTTGTGTTGTTTCCTTTATCTTATCAAATTATAATACAAAATAATATAATTATAATAATAATGTACTGGTCTTATAAGTCTTGGCTTTTGGCCTATGGGGTTGATACTGGATACATTCCAAGGATGATATACAGTAAAAAAAATTTAATAATAATAATATAACAATAAATGTTAAAATAAACTCTGAAAAAAATTACATAGAAAATAATTTTAATGTGGCTAATATCTAATATAAATTTGAGAGTCAACTGTTCAACTCTTTGCTGTAGACAATTCTTAGTTCAGATATATACATTTATTAAGAATAAGTGAAAACAGAATGTGAAAAATGACCTATTTTCTGATGGCAAATTTGATTCTCGCTGATTTTACAAAAGGAAGTGAAATGAACAGTCATATCTGAACAATAGCAAGTGTCATTAAAACATGATAATGGCTGATAATAGCAATTTTTACTTTTCCAGCTCTTGTTATATATAACAGAGGTAAAGTATGTAATCAGTCAAAAATTGACCTCCAAGATTTTTACATTTTTGGACTCAAGGCCTTGAAATGTTGAAAAAAAAAATTCAAAGGTTTTCTTCTATATGTATGTTTTGAAGCTTAATAACTCCTGTGTTTTTGTCAAAAATTTCTGAAATTTCACAGAGAGGTTTGTTTATTAGAGGAATTGATGCTATTAAATTTTGGTGGTTAAAGGTTGTGGGGTGGGGGAGATAAAAAGAATTGTGTGTCATAACTTGAGTAGGGATGGGCTTAAGGACAATTTTACTTATTAGCATTAATAATTTTTATTATTATAAAACCCACATCACCAGCATAGCTCTATTGTTAATAGGAAAAGTATGGTGTACAGGGGCAAGACACTACTAAAATAGAGAGCATATATTTTAAATTAAATTAAAAATATAATTAAAAATTGCAGTTTGGTATTATGACAATGATGAAATAAATAATTGTTAGATTGTGTGTCTTAATCAAGTTCTCTGAAATGACATTATTATACAAATATGGAATAATTATCAGTTTACAAGAAATAAATTCAAATAGAAGTGTCTAAAATTATCAATTAAAGCATGAATTAAGCATAAAAAAAAGAATTGTAAAAGAATTAAAGGTAATATATAGGTATAAATGTTTTTGGTGATTTTGGAAAAAGATGCAATGGTAAATAATTACAATGTGTACATACACAAAGAATTTTTCATATTTTTTTAAAAGCACTGTTATTGATTTTAGACAAAATAATAAGTTGTTTGACAAGTTTGTAATTAAAATTTAATATCAGCTTATAACTCATCCAATGCATTACCCCTTTAAATTGCGATTTTAGACACAGATAAAGATTTTCTGCAAAAAAATTAGAGTACATACATTAGCTAACAAATTACACAAAAAATTACCATACTAATATATAAAAACTATATTATATATTACAAATTAATTATCAGCAATTTGTTATACAGAATAATTATTTTATTGCAATCACTTGGCAACAAATAGCTTTGGATCTACTTTAATGCAATTTGAAAAAATTGTAGGCCTAAAAATTCTCACTGTTGTCCATCCATCTGTCTTTCCTTAATCTTGAGAATGGAATTAGATATATGAAAAATGAGACCAGATATGGAACCTTAGAGACAGGAAGTCCCAATTAACTATACATGAACTTCTAATGCAAACGGAAAGTCATGTTATTTCAATTCAAACATTTTTCCCTGAAAGGTGTTATATAGATCACTGGCATGACTCTATTGTTAAGTGAAAAGTATGATGTACAGGGGCAAGCAAACTAGTAATCTGAAGTGGAGAACATATATTTTAAATTAAATAAATTTAAAATATGATTAAAAAGTGTAGCCCAGCATTGTGACGATATCACAATAAATAAGTGCTCATGTTTATAATAAAATGCTGTTAATTGAACATACGTTTTCAATTCATTTTAAAATTTATTTTTTATTCTGGATCTTGATTTGTTCAAAAAATAAACAGATTTATTAACTATTGTGTTTATTCAATCGCCAAATGATTATTAAAGAGTATATTGTTTTTTGATATTATAATTTGTGTATCTATTGTACAGATGACTCATGTTAATATGAATTACTAGGGAAACAGTATTTAATTTACAAAAGTTCATATTAATGATTTTCAGGGTCAAGTCAATGTCGCTTCTGTCTCATCATCATCATTCATTTCCTCAAGACAATATTTTTATTCTTGTCAAAAGGCAACAAAAGTTAAAATAATTTTTTATAAAAATTATAAGTTTAATTCTTTCAATTAATGATTTTAATCATTATCTTGATGATGCTTTCTATTATTTAACATGATTACACTATAGTTCACAGTATATTCTCAAGTATCCATGCATGCTTACATCGCGATAAAAATTTGTCAGGAATACAAATATTAGCATTAAAATAAATGTGTAGTTGTTTTAATGCTTGCTATTTAAAATGGTATATTCAGCATCACAATTACTTCCAGAATGTCAAGGCATAAATTAAATGGCCTAACAAGAACAGTAAGTGTAGTTGATTCTTGAACAATATGACTTTACTAATGTTCATAGTGTATTTTTTTATTTAATAAATTTTAAATTATTTGATGAAAATATTTCAAATCATTTCCTTATTAAGAAATCATTAATATTGCAAAGTTAATGATGTTTTGCAATGCTATATGGCTAACACCATGTCATTCCCAATTAATAATACAAGAAATTGATAGTGAACTGTAAACTAGTTAAATAGATTTTTCTGAAGTTTCTGTTTACATAAACAGTTTTATTCAACTCTAATCACACCTAAAGATTATTAATTAATTATTTAATTAAATTATTATTCTCAAAACAATAGTTTATATATTATGAATAAAATACATACTAAATTTAATATAAAATTATAAACTGAATAAAAGAAAAATCAATTAGCTTTCATTACCAGCAATTAGCCTGGATAATATACTGTATTTTAGAATGTATAAAGATTACAAAGAAAAACAAACATTAAAATTTGACTTGTATTTATCACGTCTAAATATAGCTTTTACAGAAAATATTGTCATCATAAAACAATCATCATCTATGGAAAAAATAAACAACAGAAATCTGCAATATATTATATAAAAATAAATATTTTTCAACGTTTTTGCATATATAGTTTGCCATATTTAGCAAAAATTATCATAATGATGCATAAATATAAAGCATCTTAACAATCATGGCAAGTTATTTATAATTTATAATCAACATTCTTAAAAGTAAGTTGATTATACATATTCTTAGCAGCATTTAATACCTTGTTGCACAGAAGGAGGAAGTATATTTGTTGAAGCACTTTCTTCTTGTGGTCCCCATCTACTTTTTCGTTTTCTTTGTGCACCTTGATTATCTTCTTTATCTGAATATAAATGTAACTTTTCTTCTAAGTTAAATATCAAATTTAAAATATTAAATTTTAAACTAAATTCAATAATCTTAATATAAAAAAAATCTAATGATCTAATGTAACACATGTGCAATACCAAATGGTTTGNCCCTTATTAATTCATAAACATAAGTGAAAAGAAAAAAAAAAAAAAAAAAAACAGAAGTGTTGACAACCTTCATATGATCGAGAGTGTATATTTCATATACAAAGGGCAATAGAAAAAGACAGCATTTTACAGAACTTTTTATCAAGAAAAGAAAAAGAAGATTACAATTCAATTATCTCTTGGCAAATTTATAAAAAAAAACACCAGACACTAATCAATAAAAAATAAATATTTTGAAAACCCTTTTTGATGTTTTTTTACATTGCTCTACTTTCATACATTTCAACTTTCATACACTTTTCAGAAACTAATTAGATACAAAAGTGGAGGAGTGCCTGTATATTGTGAGAATCTGAATGGTAATTAAACAAAATTTTTCAATACAAAATATAATTCATCGATCGAGAAGACAACACTAATCTAAATTGGGGACCTTTCCTTAAAAAGGGATTCTAAGCAATTACCTTCATCTTTTGATGGAAAGAATGAGAGAATATTACTTTCTTATGTAGTAAAATTACTTCTCCCTCCAAATCGTTATTTAATTATCCTGAGAAAATAAATGCATCTTCTACATGTTGTTTACACTAATGGAAACCACATTCTGTCACTTTTGTACAAAAAGGAAAAGTCAAACTTCCCTTTCTCACGTTCTTATTGCTAATCCTGACAACCATCTGGATATCTACCCCTCTGCACAACCCATTTACAAATGAAAATCCAGGATTCCTATTGGTTGTAAAGTTTGATAAAAAAGGGCAATTTTCCCCAATTTGGGGAGTTCTCTAATATTTCATCTTATGCTCCAAACCCCCGAGTCTCTCGAAGGAAGATTCATCCTGTGTCCCCCAACAGTTCCCGCTTCACTCATACTCCTCAAACTTCACCACCATCGGTCTACCACATCATCACTTCATATCTAGCACTGAAGACTGCTAACCTGATCTACTATTGAGGTAGTATAAGTTTTATTTGATGTAAACTCTCTTTCTCATGTGGTTAGATAGGGATCTAATATCTCTTGTATCGATTTTGTTCTCTGTTATATTTTGTCTCTAATAAATTTTTGATTTATTGATTTGAATAATGGATTCGTTAATGAGAACAACTCCACACCAAAGTCTTATCACAGGTCCACAATCTCTCTTTCTCAGAAAGGTATTTAAATTTCAATTATTAGCATGCCTAATGCTCTAATTAGGGTAGTGTCAGGACTGACAAGTCAATCTAACAAACTTCCTGTCCCCAAATTAAATAACACTAAAAACCCATTCTAGTGACCCTGTGGGTGGATCTTCCCGATCTGAGGCCAATTAGGAGTGAGAAATGAAGCTTTTGTCACCCCAACTTGCCACGTAAGTGTTTCTCCCATCGGATTCCCACATTATTATATATGAATTACTAGGGAAACAGTATTTAATTTACAAAAGTTCATATTAATGATTTTCAGGGTCAAGTCAATGTTGTATAATATACAGAGTATAATGATTAATAGGCAATTAAAATCTTTAAATTGTAATATTTTGAATTAATTGACTAAATAAAGTTTATTTATAAAAATAAATTAATGATCTAAATGAGTTTCAAATCACAAAATGAAGTGGTGATAGTATTAGCTAGCCATTTAAGTGTGGAGCAATGTATCAGAGTGTTTAAACAAAATAATGCTAAAAAAAAAAAAATCAGTGATTTTTTTCTGTTGAATATTGTTTGGAAAAATAGAAATAATCTTTTGTTGCAAAAAAAAAAATAATAAAAAAAGGAACCAAATTTCACAAAAAGTAGTCAAACCTAGCATCACTGTATGCATCCCCACTATGCAAACTAGCACATGTTAAGAGGTGGGTGTTCTTAAACTTTAACCCCTATTTTCTGAGTATGGAAGAATGGACTGTTAAAACCATACATTGAATTGCTCTACAGAGGTCAAACCTGTCTCATTACTAAAAGAAAAAATTATTCTATTCAAAATAGAACATTTATTATGGTACAACTTTGTTCTCTACACTTCATCAATGTGAATAATAAAATCAATGTTGGAAATAGGGTTATTTCTGAGGTTGTAAAGGTAATTTACAGTTCAGTTTAATGAATTCTGGAAAATTTTTTGTTCACTTTATTGCATGAAAATGTTGTGTTGTTGTGAATGTTTTTGGTGTTAATGTTGTGACAATGGTACTTTGCCAGAACAGTGGCAAATACGTTTTATTGGTGTTCATACAGTCAACTGTATTTTAAAAACAACAGAATTTAGATATAACAGTAGTTTGAAATTATAATTATTCAAATTTTGAGCATTCTATCTAAATAAAAATTATAAATGTATAAAAAAATTAATTGCAATAGTTCGATGGAGTCTATTCCTTCATTATTATAATCCTTAGCAACTGAAAAAAACTAATATTTATTAAATAAAATTCATATGAATCCATTTCTATTCACATAAAAAAGCCATTTTGCATTGCACATGTAACATTAAATTTCATAAATTATTTTGTTAGTTTTGAAAATATCTTGTTTAATTAGTAATTTAGAACCAAAATTCACTTGTAAAACCAGTTTAATTTCCATAATTTCAGTTTGAAATGAATTTGATGCTTTATTGTAACCATTTATTTTCTACTTCAGTCTTGAGCAGGGACATCTTAAGTAAACAGTTGTGTTGATAAGTTTTATCTTGTCAATTTATGTTATGACATATGCTATCACTTTATGTATATTTCTATTTTGGTGAAAAAATTTGCCCTTATTAATTCATAAACATAAGTGAAAAGAAAAAAAAAAAAAAAAAAACAAATNGAAAACAAAAATGATTTATTTCCTACTATTTTAATGTAAAAAAATGTTTTTTTTTGTTTTAAACTGTTATCTAAAAACAATTAAGCAAAAAAATACGAATTTCCTACACAATGTTTCAGTTAAGTAGTGGATTAGCTATAACAAAAATTTCTAACAAGTAAATTCAGTTGCTATTTTGCAATGAATATGAATACATCATGGACAAGGCTGTCAAGAAAATTGAAAGCAAAGATTGCCCTTTGGGTAGAAAGACAAAAAAAGTGAAATCAAACCAGACTGGAAAAGGTATTTGTAAACCAGAAGAGTGAGAGAAGAGAAGTCGCAGAAGAAAAACATCTGAATCCAAGAAATATATAATAAAAATTTATTCTAAAATTTGTAACAATAATTCCTATTAAATCTTATTGGAAAAGTAACAACCACCAATTTAATTATCACAAAATAATACAATTTATTATATTAATTTTTAGTTACAAATTTTTACTATAAATATTTGACCAACATTTCTAAGATAACAGCTAAAGTCAAAGTATAGTATCGAATGAGTAAATAAGATGAATATTACACATATTGCTTTGGAACAAAAGAAAGTAGACAAGACTAATAAAATATAAATTTTCTAATTCTAATGTCCCTCTTCCATTTAAAAAAAATTTTATTAGAAAGCAAAAAAGTCTGAAGAATTTTACAAGAGCAAAATCTCATTTAAGAATGTAGTCCATTTTTAGTAAGAAATATTTTTAGGCTTTTTATCATGATTTACTAATATTTTACATAAACTAAAATGGTTTGATGTTGTTATAAGATTATATAATATACATAATCCTAATTATATATATATAGTCTGTTTGCAAATTAAATGACTCAAAATATTATACTTTACTTCTGAATTTCATTAATTTCATAAAGTCCATAAAATCAGAGAATTTATAACCATAAAGTAAACTTTTCTTTTCATAAAATAATTTTGGCCGAGACATAAGTATAAACTTTTCTTTAATAAAATTTCCAAATATAACAGCATGTTAATACACAATAATACACAAATAACTTAATTTTAAAATAGTGTAAAAGTATGTAATTCATTTTCAGAACAAAAAATATTCAATAATCAGAAAATATTAAAACAAAATCTATCATCATAAATATTTTGATTTGTAATTATGTAGAAACTGCTTTACAAAATTCATTATCAAATATTGATATAAAAAGAAATATTTTGCTTGTTATTAAGATATTGTTGCAATAAAAAGATTTCAAAATTATAGTTAAAATTCTTAAAATTGCTTTCAGATAATTAATTACATAATTGAAATTCAGATATTTTTTGTAACATTTTTTGTAACTTGTAATCTTTAGATATAGAATATACAATCAAGGTGATAAAGGCATAGCCTGCCACTATGGGAACCAGGGTATTCAGGTCAGGAACCATCCCGGATATATCAGGTTCCATTCTTCATCACTCAGGTGCCCAGTGCTCCAACTTTTGAGCATGGAAAAAAGAACCTCTTAGTGCTTGCACAATATAAAATGCCAATTAACATCATATGTAAAAGACAATGACAATTGTGTTAACTCTAATAGTTAATAGTTTTTGAATATGCTTACTTAAGCATTTTTTCTAAATTATTGTTATTCCTCATCATCTATTTAATAAAAAAGTTTTATCAATACATTTACTTTTCAAGAATTAATATCAAATCTTTCTCTCTAAATACGTGTAAGATATCAATCAATCATATTACAATAATTTGTAGCATATTAAATAATTAATCTGTTTTCCCCCTTCTTGGAAAAAATATTCTATAGGTAGCTGGTTTCTTTTCATATAAATAAAATAAAATCTTCAATGAAATTAAGACTTTAATACAATAAACCTACATTGATAAATGCTTTTGTTAAGTTTCATTCATAATATTCAAAAATCCCATAAATGATGATATTCATAAATATTTATATTTTTTAAACTCCTGTTTTTTTTAGTAAAGAATGTAACAGTAAATAAAAAATAAATTTCTACAGTCAAAAAGTAGAATGCATTTTTATTATAAATGCAATTCAATTCATGTTGACAGTAATCATAAATTGAACTTCAAGCAGTCATTGTTAGTTTTAAGAAAACTAATTAATTCAAATAAAAGTAATGTGATAAGTAGAAAACATTTGTAAAGTAAAAAACTGATTAATTTTACAACTTTCATTATAATCATTGTAACATAAAAGTTACAATGATTATAATGAACTGTAATGGATACAAAACTACAGCTATACTTAGAGAAAAAGAGGAGTGGAAAAAAATGTATATTGTAAAGAAAAACAATGTTATAGCTGAAAACAAAACAGACTTAATTTGTGAATGTAATCAGTGTGAGTCTGTGTATTCTTAAAGTATTTCTTCTTTTAATGTCACTACTGTCACAGGTTTATCAATGTTTATCTAATAGTGTGTCTAGGTATCTATATATTTCATAATACAGTAAAATTCCAATCATGGAAAGCTAGAACTACTTTAAATAAGTTCCACAAAACCTTTTTACTAGTGATGTAACGAATATTCGGTTACTATTCGGTATTCGGCCTATTCAGCCGAATACTGAATACCTAAAAACAGGAGTAATAAATAACAAAAACACAGTAAATTTATCATTTTGTTATTTAGATTTAATGTTATCGAGTTAGTGTTGTTTGTTCATATTTATTTATAACTTGTAACATGCGCAAAATAAAAATGAAAATAATATTAGTCACATGTATTCACAATTTATAATTACAAAGATCAGCACACGTACACGTCTATCGTTGGAGAATCCTCACACAGCTGAGGGTCTGACCCTGCCTATCCTTCTTTTTTAGTGCTCGTCTTTGCTCTTCCCTTTCTGTTTCCTCTATCACTCTAATCCATNAGAATGAATTTCTTACAAAAAAAGTAATACGCCAAATAATAAAATAAATTACGCATTATAAGTTTATGAATAGACAAGTAATTTAAAACACTTACAATATAGTAAGAATGTTAAATAGTAATAATATACAACCCACACTTCCCTTTTTCTCAGCAAAAGCTGATACTTGACTTTGGCTCACATAGTAGTTTTTCAAGGTTTTATCCTGTATAGAAAGTTATTGCACCCCATGATAGATACTTAGGGGTATATTACAAGAATTAGGTACTCCATAACTAATAAATATGTTCAAAAAGAAATCTAAAAACCATATTAAAAATACACTTACCTATATAATGGATTGTTGATATTTGATTCACGAGCTAGTTCTTCTGCATTTGCTCCATTCACTACAACACTTATGGCAACCTTTTCCACAGCAGTTTTAACTTCTTGATCCTCTGGTGGAGAAACTAGAAGCAGGCTATCAGATTTCTGTGTTCATGACCATGAATGTTCATCTAGTTAAATGAGTAGACAAAACAAATCAAGGTGGTTTCATAATAATGATAACCACCTTTTAGGAATTCCACCTGAATTGTGTTTTGATACAATTTCAACCAACATAAAACTAATGATTTTGTTAATTTTAATTTACAAACTGATTACATAGTTTTAAAAAAATCTAAATCCAATTGAATCTGATATATTTAAACTAAGCTTAAAATTCAATTAATAAAAAAAAAACATCTAAAAAGTTATTCAACATTAAATTTGATTGTTTATTGATGATAAGAATTTTGATACCAAAATTTTTACTCTTTTTGAATGAATGTGGAATTTTAAATTTTTATATAAAAATTTAAAATGTAATTATTAGATGAACAGTTTAATTATAATTTACAGAATACTGATTATATTTCTTTCTAATTATTATAAATTTAGAAAATAACATCACTATTATTATATCAAATTATAATAAAAATAATAGAATTATAAACCAAAACAAGATGCAAACAATTTTTAAACATTAAGTAGTAAAGGTTACAAAAAATTAAAAACTTATATTTTTAATTAATAATTTATCATAAATAGAAAATTGTTACAAATTTATGTATTCATATACAGTATATAAATTCATTAATCACATCAATATAATGAATTTAGTTTTGATGAACTTAAAAGATTCATTTAAAATAATTAATGTATTTCCACAATTTAATAAATAGTGAATGATATGACATTCTAAAAACTTCAATCTAAATTTCACTTCATAATTATATTCTTATATATACAGTAGAGCGTCGATTTTCCGAAAGTCAATCATCCGAAACATCAATCATCCGAAAGATTTCGAGTCGGCAAATTTAAATTTTCGTCAGTGCTGTGGCGCTTCAATCTTTGGCTATGGTCTTGGGCTACTCAAATATTTTACGTTTTTGATACTAAATGAACATCTGAAGTATAATTTTTTATTGTTTTTATATTTTTCAATATATTTATTTTATTTGTACAAAATAAAAAAATAATTTTTAACGATACAATAGTCTTTGCTAGGCTTAACATCGACGAAAATTCAACGCGAAGCGACACGCAACTGATAAAAATGTCAACATCGGATACATTAAACTATTTTTTCGTACATAAATCGGTTATCCGAAATATCAGTTATACGAACAGCCCCAGTCCCCAATTGATTCGGAAAATCGACGCTCTACTGTATATAAATTATATGTTTAGAATATAAACAGATAAATTTATACAGTAAAATCTGCCTAAAATGTTATGGTACAGTACATATTTTTGATTTTAACAGGTTTCTATTTTGTTTTTATTAATGCAGAAAAAGAGAGAAGTTGAATAAATATTTTAATTTACATTTACAGTTGTTTTTCCTCAAGCATATATATTTTGTTTCAGAGATAAGTTGAAAACACCAAAATGTGTTAGTAGTAAACAGAGAAAAAAAATCTGCACAAACTCCCAAGCAATGTGTTAACTGTCCTATTCCCTATGACATACCACTTGCTAGTTATCACTTAATTCTATAACTATGAAATTAGACTAACAAAGAATTTTTCAATTTTATTTACAAAAGTATTGTATATAAGAATAATTGCTCTTAAAAATTAAATTTTGTTGTTCTTAGTAGTGAATTTTGGCTAATTTCTAGAATTTTACCATTGGCACTGATTGCTGCTGCTTTTCTCTAGATGATGTGGAGAGAGTGAAAATACTTTGTCCTAAAGCATTTCATCATAATTGTTTGATAAATTTTTTATTTAAAAAATTTTATTTTTAGTAACTATTAATTTTAGATTTGTAGCATGTACTACTTTCCTCAAAAACTGTGCACATTGTTAAAAATATTCTTTACTCTTAGGGAACAAGTTAATTTTTCTATAGAGTTGGAAAGAAACAGTAGAAATGTATTGTCACAGCTAACTTAATTTTTATACAAGCCCGATCAAGTTACACCATTAATCACAATGTAGAATCTAGCTAATGTTATGCTGAAAAATTTTGCTTTACTCATGTTATGTTATGTAATTGATACCCAAAAGAAGTATTCTGCTTCTATGTCAGCAAATCATTCTGTTTAGAAATTTTTATTTCCATTTAAGCAAGTTTTTTTGTAGATCCATTTTAGGTAGATTTTACTATATTAAAAACTTTTGACAATTTTATTAAAGTACAATATATATTTTTTCAAAAATCTTAAAATTGATAATAAAGTTTCATCACTATCAAAATAATTACTTATCACGAATAGTTGTAACTACTGTATTTACTCAAATGTAAGATGGATTTTTTTTATGGTTTTAGTATTTTTGAAAACTGATTTTGTCTCAGATTCAATGTGATACAGAACAAATACTACCCTCTAGTTCCAGGCATCTAATTTTTATGTCACTAATTTTATTGCATCATTTTAATGACTTTATTAGACCAATATTCATAAAATAAAATATTTAAAATGTCAACTTAGCTCAATTAATTTATTACAGTAACATCATAAGTACTTGGATGAAAATCCAGGAAAAGTTGTGCAGTATTCTTTCAAGAAATGTTGCATTTCCAATGCTTTAAATAGCACTGGGTATGATTGCATGCATGAAGATATGAACATCAGAATCCAGTGTTGATTAGAGTTGATTAAAAATAAATGTACATAATGACTAAAACTAATACTCAGGAACATGACTAAAAACAATATTAATGTTGATTCAGAAGAGCCTAACATAACAAGTGAAATGGTTTCCTATTTCAATATCATAAAAGACAGTGATATATAACTTACTTTACTTGCAATAAATACCAAACATTTCTGCTGACATAAATTTTTCGAGTTGTCTATTTTAAAAAATTCCAATGGTCAGCGTTTAGAAATTAAGGTGCATCTTAGATACGAGTAAATATAGTAATTTTTTGGATATGAATTATAAGAGGGATTTCTTAATCTTTTCATTCTCCCACTCCTCCCAAAAATAAACTTAATGTTTACTCTTCCTATCCTTCTCCGAACTGAAAGTTTAAAGTGAAAAAACAATTACAAATATTTCCCGAGGGAACACTACAAATTTTCTACATCCTATTCATACTTCAAGAAAACTGCTGGATTAGAATATCTTAATGAAATATAAAATGGCATAATGTATTCAGTATTCTAAACATCTCTCCTCGTATAATTGACATTTGAAAAACTTTATATATAATTTTAATTTTTGCATCTTGCTTATGATTTATAACTTTACAATTTTTGTAATTATTGTTTTAATTTTAAATACTTAAATTATATAATTACAAAATTTTTGATATATTTAACTTATTTAACCTTTAAGTACAGTACATATAGCATAGTCTTTGTTGCTTCTAATTTATCAATGAATAAAATTTAAAAATAATTATCAATTATTTTTAAATTTTAATTACAGTTTTTAATGCTAAAGATAATTCCAACTTCAAAATGCAATCAAAATTATGTTGATTTACTTCCATTTACATAATTTGTTATATCATGAGTAGACAGTAATTTAATAATAATATAACCAGGCTTTAGAAAATTAGTATTTATATATTTCTTTGGGTTACCTCAGCCAATAAAAATCATTTTACAGTAACCACATGAAAATTAAATGCTAGTGTGCAAAAACATCAATATGATGATTCTAACTTGACAACCAAAAAAATAGAATTATAAAAATTCAAATGACAACAGAATGAGAATTTATAAATTTTTAAATTTACAGAATACTGTGCACTTTATATATAACAAATAATAAATAGGGTGGTCCATTTTGATCTCTATCTTCCCATAATTTCCCTTTTGAATAAATGTCTTTTCACTACTACAAATTAAGATTAACTTCTATCTATAACAACAAATTTTTCTAAAAATTTTATTGCCCTCATTAATTCTCTCTCTCTTTAATTTGAAGTTTGATCTAATTCCTAGCAAAAATGGATAGTTTATATGGTAAATTTGAATGTGCATATATAGCTTAAAAATATATTTAAAAAAAGTTACTTGAAAATTATATTTAATATTACTTTTAAAGATTATTTTTACTTTCTAATTTATTTAAATATTTTTAAAAAATACTATAGGAAATCCTCATTAGTTCAAAATTCAAAAGACAAAATAATTGCAACTTCAAATTACCGAGTTTTGAATTACATGAAATATACATATTTCTGTACAATACTGTCATGTAACTGATGCAATCCATTAAACAAACGGAACACAGCTATATGTATAGAATGCTATTTTTGTTAATTAATAATTATAATAATAATGTAAATAAACTGCAGGTAAACAGCATATGTCCAGTGAGAACCTCACAAGTTGTCAGATAGGTTTTATAAAAAGTAAAGTGGAATTCCTTGAAACCTAGCCCAAATTATTTTTAAAGTGGCCTAAAAAGTAGTCACCCAAATGTAGTAGCCTAGAGCCCTAAAAATATCTCATCTCATCTGTTACTTTGGCCCAATTTTTCAATCCCAAAATCCAGCCATACTTTATTAACCAGCTGTATTTTTCTTCATGACATAAGAGAATAAAAAGTAGTCTGTGGGTAAGGTGAGATCCAAAAATGTTACTGTAAAAGCAAAGTCATATTAATCAGATTACAGTTTTTCTTGGTCTATTGTTCCTGTATAGCATGGAGGCACTTTGATCTAAACAAATCAGTTAATATATCATAGTATCATAGTTCAAACAGAATTTTCACTTCGAATTTTGAAGTTACTGCAGTTCAAACTAACTGAATTCCTTAACTTGTAAATCTCTATTTCAGGCCAGGACAAAAGTGCAATTACGAACTAATGAGATTTCAAACTATCCAAGTTCAAATTAACAAAGATTTCCTGTATATGCTAATTCAAATATTTATTCTATTCTTATATTTTTATAATAATTACTCTTATTTAATATAATATATAATATTCTTATTTATTATATTATATAATTTTTGCTTTGTTATTTAATAACTTCATTTTATTATCTAAACAACATTTTCTCTATCTCTGTATTCATTTGTTTGTGTGAACTACAAAACTTCAGAACTGATTAAATTAACTGAAAAGATAACTTTACAAAAGATAACACATGAAGACCTCTAAAAATATCTTGAAGAGTTGAAATAATACTGGAAAAAATTTGTATAAACAAAGAGCAATATTTCAAAAATTGTGTGTAATTATCCTAAAATGTCCACACTTCTGAAATAAAATGCAGTGTAAGTAAATTTTTAAAGCTAGCCTGTAAGAAAGTAAAGAACTGAAATAACAAGATACAGCTATATCATTCAATACTTTTACATTAAATGTTTATAAAAAATGTAAAACCTAGTGTGTACAGTTTCGAATCAATACATATAAATGACTACAATGGCTACATACTGAATAAGGATCCATCAGGATATCTCTTGATGGGTTTATGCAATGTGCATTTCAGATGTTAATATATGTTTTTTTTTTTATAATGTAAAAATATAATAATTCTGACAGAATATCTTTTAAGTCATTCAAGAATAGTTAGAAGAATTGACTTATATACATATTAGAAATGTTGCACAAATTTCAAAATTGCAATAAATTATTACAGATGAAATATAACTAACTACTTAAAGGTTAAATAAAAATTGAAATTAAAATATGTTTCTATATCATACATGATTCTAGCTAATGTTATGCTGAAAAATTTTGCTTTACTCATGTTATGTTATGTAATTGATACCCAAAAGAAGTATTCTGCTTCTATGTCAGCAAATCATTCTGTTTAGAAATTTTTATTTCCATTTAAGCAAGTTTTTTTGTAGATCCATTTTAGGTAGATTTTACTATATTAAAAACTTTTGACAATTTTATTAAAGTACAATATATATTTTTTCAAAAATCTTAAAATTGATAATAAAGTTTCATCACTATCAAAATAATTACTTATCACGAATAGTTGTAACTACTGTATTTACTCAAANTGTGAGCCCGAGGGGTTTGAGTTCGAAAATTTTTAGGGTTAACATATTTTTTCATTAGAGGATGGAAAAAAATATAACGGAAATAGATCGGATGTGGGATCTTACACATCGTCCGTTTGTTAATTAGTCAACGTGCGCGTGATAATTAGTCAGCATAACGAGTGAACGACCTGTTGGCTCAGTGCCAACGACGATCGTATAAGAACGATCGTCACGGGAAGTTCAGAGCGATCGTCCCCTCAGTGCGACCGCCCCTCCGAGCGATCCTCAGGAAGGTCTGAATATAGTGTCTCCCGTCCCAATCCTGTCCGAGGAGAAGCCGGTAGAAGACATAATAACCCTGTGACAGACAGCCAGCTTCCATAGTCCAGAAGGATCATCGCATACCGTCCTCCGACATAAGGTATAACTGACCACCAATATAACTCTCTTTGTAAACTCTCACACGGCATAGTGAATAGTTACAGCTCCCTTATAGATAAATTTGTGTTATCCGCATCTAAGCTATAATCAGTAACTTGTATACTCCTGTAAATTACTTTAGTTATAGAATAAACATTTATTTTGTTATTTGTTAAACCTGTCTCCTGTCTATCCGAGGAAACCTGTCGACTTACCGATGCACTCCCCACTCGATTTGCCCTCCTAGCCATCCTAACGACTCCGAGATCGGGCTTTACCAGCCTGTGCAGATTAAGTGGTCAGTATCAGATTAACCCCTGACCCATTGCGTATCTCACATTTAGAATGGAACCTCAGGGTGGACATAGGCTATATATTATTCCGTTAAACATTCATATAAATTAAAATATATAATCTAGGTTAAGGCTTTTATGTCCAGCAGATGGCGCTATGAGTACGACGCCCTAAGTTTGCTTTTCTGCGAGGCATTATGCTTTTCTGTGAAAATGAACTAAACCAGATCATCTTCTATCTAATTATATAAATAAAAATGTAATGTTAGTTTGTTCCTACCGATTCCTTTGAAATTTTGACACAACGCTGCATTCGAATATGCACATGTTTTTATATAATATACGTGTTGAAATTCCCCCCACTGAAGGGAGATGGTTAGGATTAAGGCTTACCATAAAGAACTCTGCTTCTATTTATACTATTTAAATGCGGTTTTTTGCGTTTTAATAGGATACGTCAACAGAATGTACACTAAGAAGAAATTTTTCGAAAAATTCCCCCACGGGGAAGTGTTAATAGATACATTTTGAACCACAACAACGCGTGGCGGGGTATGCTAGTATTAACATAATTAAATATAAATATTGTCATAAAATATACTATATTTTTATGCTACATTTTGTAAGGGGAAAAAAAATGCTGTATTTATATTTTTCAGAATTACTTGAAGAGAGAATTTTTGAAATTATTGAGTTTCAAATGTATAATCGTCTTAAAATTATTAAATTGTATTTTCTACATGAAATTTTATTGACTCAATTTTAAAAAAATGTAAGAATATGGAGAATTTAATAGAGAAAATTTAATTATTTATCATATAAAAGTAATTATTGTGAGAATTTTCAAATACATACCTGAATCATCATCATCATCATCTAACAATTTTGATTGTAATCCAGTATCTAATTGTTGAACCCGTCTAATTTAAATAAAAAGTTTTGAGAATATATTTTTACTGTATTTACAGATTAAAAAACAAGTTTAAAATTTTATTATTTTTAATTAAAATTCAAATTTGTAAAAAATTAATAAATTATCTGTAAAAAAAAATGCTATTTACAATAATATATGCATAATACTAGAAGTGTGATCAAAAAATTATTAAAAAATGTAATTATTTAATATTAGCATTACTGACAAAATTTCTAATTTTGTCTGATCTGATATTAAGATATATCAAAGTTAAAGAATATTTTTGATTAATTATATCATCTTTATTTATTATAGTAATACATATTAACAGTTATCTTATTAATTTGTATGTTAATTACTTGATCAATAGTCACATAAAATATAAACAACTTAATTTGATTACACTGTCAGCTAATTTTTTTGAATTTGGTATTCTTTTCTGTACTCAATATTGCAGTTTTATCAATTTTATCAATTTTTCTAATGTAAATTGTAATTAACTAAAAATAAAAATTATTTCATCTGAATTATCATTTAGTTTTAAACAACATATTGCCTTACACATTTGGACTTGACAGCATTATATTTGTTTAATTTTCTGATTAATTTTTGTTTAGTTACTTAAGAATTTATGTATCTAAATTACAATTATAGTTTCTAAATAATAATGTATATATACAAATTTTGTATTATTGTGTGTATGTGGATTTAGCATTTGTAACAATACAATTTCAAAAGACACATGGCAAATTTTCCATCAAATTCCTTTATTAGTTGAGTCGATTTGATGAGTCTTGCCGTTTCTAGTTTCTGTGGATTTGTTTTTTGAAAATATAACGCCACAAATATAAAACAGGACACAGTTTCAAAAAACAAATACAATTTCACTTATATATACCAGTGGTTCTCAATCTTTTTGAAGTCGGATAACACTAAACTTTGACATTTTTTTCCACGGAACATTTACAATACATCAGCTTTAAAGTAGGGGTGGCAAACCTTTTTGAAACCTTTGAATCTAGTAGATGACAACATTGGCATTTGCTGATTACATTCCCATACAAAAATTATTTTACATTGTATTAATTTTTCTTCTGCAACAATTTTTAATTATATATTTGATTTTTTCAAGGAACACTTGAAGTGGCTTCATGGAGCACTCGTGTTCCATGGACCACGGTTTGAGAACCATGAATCTATACTAAGTACCAAAGTACTTTTTAAATTGAAAACAGAGTAAATTGTATTTTTTTAAATTACATATTTTATTTTGAAAGTAAATAATCACTATTTATTAAATCATCATAATATGATATATATTAAAATACAAAATTACAATACTTACTTTCCACCTTGTAATTTCATTATTATAGCAGATGGTTTTGATTTATTTAGCCTTTCTTCTGAACCTAAAATTAAAACAAACATATTTATTTGAATTTTAATAAAATTATTCTATAATAGAAATAATAAAATTAATTTAATTTTTACAGGAATAGGACATACACTGACCATGGATTTGACATCATAATACAGAATTTAACAAAAGAAATAAATACTTATGCTTACAAATTAGATACCATTAAGCACTAATTAGAGAGATAATCTAAATTTAAATTATACCATTATTAATAATTTAAATTTAGATTCTCTCTTTAAAACAGAAACCAAAAAGTCCTATGTATTTTAAAAAATTTTAATTACAGTGAAATTTAAAATAATTTTTTGAACAGTTAATGATAAATTTATTACTAATAATTTCATACTGATACCTTTAAATGCAATATACTTTTAATTAAACTTTAATGTTTTAATTTTAATAAGTTCTATACTGATAGAATTGTTCTATTAATATATTTAGAATGTATTTTCCTTCTTTGAAGAAGGTTGTTGAAAACAACCGAAAATGTTAAAGTATAATTAAAAATTTATTGCATTTAAAGGTATTAGTATGAAATTAATAGCATTATTGAAAGTGCAGTTTTATGAAGCAGTGATCTTTTAAATTTATATAACAAATTTTTGATATTTTAATCTGATATTAAACCTATATGATTGAATTATAAATTAACTATGTCTATTTACAAATAATCAGGAAAAATTTTTGGGAAAAATCTTATAGGCAATGAATGCATGTTTGTAGTATCAGTGATCTAACCAATGTTATGATTAACACTAAGTATCATCTTAATGTTATAATTTACTTCTTCCTAACTTTGTCCCCAAATTTTGTCTTTAATATCAATGTATAACTATGGAAAATATTTCAGCTTGAGTAAAAAAAAAAATAATGTTTTCTTCTCCATCAATTATATTAGTCAGACAGTGATTTGATGATATTGATCATTAAGGTTATCTTAATGATCAATTCAGACAAAAATTTAAAAATGCTAAAAACTGGAAGCAAGCAATAACTTCCAATCTGGTGTATTTTTCTCAGAATTTTTAAAATTATTCAGCATCGTAACATTATATTTAGGGGAAGATGGGTCAAAATAGGATGGGGTAATAAGGCAAGATGAGGATAGCCTGTATTTTAATAATAATAAGTACTGTAAGTTAGTAGTAAATACTGCAACTAGCAACTAAATTTGCACACCAGAAGTAGTTGATGGTAAAATTACAGTTGTTGTTCAGTGCTTTTTGCCTTTGGAGGCAAAAATGTGTTTGACAGCCAAAAATTATATGTTGATTAATTTTGAAAGATGTGAGTGTGAACAAACACACACATCTTTCAAAATAAATTTAATTTAATTTTTTTACAATAATACTAATTTTAAGTTTTTATAATAATTATGATATAAACAACTTAATTTGATTACACTGTCAGCTAATTTTTTTGAATTTGGTATTCTTTTCTGTACTCAATATTGCAGTTTTATCAATTTTATCAATTTTTCTAATGTAAATTGTAATTAACTAAAAATAAAAATTATTTCATCTGAATTATCATTTAGTTTTAAACAACATATTGCCTTACACATTTGGACTTGACAGCATTATATTTGTTTAATTTTCTGATTAATTTTTGTTTAGTTACTTAAGAATTTATGTATCTAAATTACAATTATAGTTTCTAAATAATAATGTATATATACAAATTTTGTATTATTGTGTGTATGTGGATTTAGCATTTGTAACAATACAATTTCAAAAGACACATGGCAAATTTTCCATCAAATTCCTTTATTAGTTGAGTCGATTTGATGAGTCTTGCCGTTTCTAGTTTCTGTGGATTTGTTTTTTGAAAATATAACGCCACAAATATAAAACAGGACACAGTTTCAAAAAACAAATACAATTTCACTTATATATACCAGTGGTTCTCAATCTTTTTGAAGTCGGATAACACTAAACTTTGACATTTTTTTCCACGGAACATTTACAATACATCAGCTTTAAAGTAGGGGTGGCAAACCTTTTTGAAACCTTTGAATCTAGTAGATGACAACATTGGCATTTGCTGATTACATTCCCATACAAAAATTATTTTACATTGTATTAATTTTTCTTCTGCAACAATTTTTAATTATATATTTGATTTTTTCAAGGAACACTTGAAGTGGCTTCATGGAGCACTCGTGTTCCATGGACCACGGTTTGAGAACCATGAATCTATACTAAGTACCAAAGTACTTTTTAAATTGAAAACAGAGTAAATTGTATTTTTTTAAATTACATATTTTATTTTGAAAGTAAATAATCACTATTTATTAAATCATCATAATATGATATATATTAAAATACAAAATTACAATACTTACTTTCCACCTTGTAATTTCATTATTATAGCAGATGGTTTTGATTTATTTAGCCTTTCTTCTGAACCTAAAATTAAAACAAACATATTTATTTGAATTTTAATAAAATTATTCTATAATAGAAATAATAAAATTAATTTAATTTTTACAGGAATAGGACATACACTGACCATGGATTTGACATCATAATACAGAATTTAACAAAAGAAATAAATACTTATGCTTACAAATTAGATACCATTAAGCACTAATTAGAGAGATAATCTAAATTTAAATTATACCATTATTAATAATTTAAATTTAGATTCTCTCTTTAAAACAGAAACCAAAAAGTCCTATGTATTTTAAAAAATTTTAATTACAGTGAAATTTAAAATAATTTTTTGAACAGTTAATGATAAATTTATTACTAATAATTTCATACTGATACCTTTAAATGCAATATACTTTTAATTAAACTTTAATGTTTTAATTTTAATAAGTTCTATACTGATAGAATTGTTCTATTAATATATTTAGAATGTATTTTCCTTCTTTGAAGAAGGTTGTTGAAAACAACCGAAAATGTTAAAGTATAATTAAAAATTTATTGCATTTAAAGGTATTAGTATGAAATTAATAGCATTATTGAAAGTGCAGTTTTATGAAGCAGTGATCTTTTAAATTTATATAACAAATTTTTGATATTTTAATCTGATATTAAACCTATATGATTGAATTATAAATTAACTATGTCTATTTACAAATAATCAGGAAAAATTTTTGGGAAAAATCTTATAGGCAATGAATGCATGTTTGTAGTATCAGTGATCTAACCAATGTTATGATTAACACTAAGTATCATCTTAATGTTATAATTTACTTCTTCCTAACTTTGTCCCCAAATTTTGTCTTTAATATCAATGTATAACTATGGAAAATATTTCAGCTTGAGTAAAAAAAAAAATAATGTTTTCTTCTCCATCAATTATATTAGTCAGACAGTGATTTGATGATATTGATCATTAAGGTTATCTTAATGATCAATTCAGACAAAAATTTAAAAATGCTAAAAACTGGAAGCAAGCAATAACTTCCAATCTGGTGTATTTTTCTCAGAATTTTTAAAATTATTCAGCATCGTAACATTATATTTAGGGGAAGATGGGTCAAAATAGGATGGGGTAATAAGGCAAGATGAGGATAGCCTGTATTTTAATAATAATAAGTACTGTAAGTTAGTAGTAAATACTGCAACTAGCAACTAAATTTGCACACCAGAAGTAGTTGATGGTAAAATTACAGTTGTTGTTCAGTGCTTTTTGCCTTTGGAGGCAAAAATGTGTTTGACAGCCAAAAATTATATGTTGATTAATTTTGAAAGATGTGAGTGTGAACAAACACACACATCTTTCAAAATAAATTTAATTTAATTTTTTTACAATAATACTAATTTTAAGTTTTTATAATAATTATGTTGAATTAAAAAATACTTAAGATAAAAATAAAAGTAAGTAAAAATATTATTATTAATAGTTCCTTTCTATAAAAAAAGATATTTTACATTCTGACATTTCATATCCGTTATTCTATTAAATTTTAATTTAAGAAAAATAATAACTCACCATATTTAGCTTCTTGTCTCTTTTTTCCTTCTGAATTCTGTTTAGCTAGAAACAAACATTATCAATACATAACAATAATATTTTAAAACTTTTATATTAAAGATATGAATAAAATGAAATAATAATTAAATAATTATTGAATAGTGGTATAAATGAATAATATAAAAATATATTTTAAAAATTTATGTATTAGAATTTGACTAGGGATTCATCAAGATATAACAGATGATTTGACTAATTGTAAATTTCTTATTAAAAAAAATTATATCAACATTGTACATACATATTAGTTGGGTTGTTCTAGTGATTTTGTTCTGTACATATGGATTTAATTAACTTACTAATAACAATATGTAAGTTCCTGCTCACTCAGGCAGGAACAAAGAAATAAAGATAGTTGATCCAGTAGTTTAGAAAGTGTGTCCATGTCTGTCTTTTTTGAAGAATATGACCACAAGCAAAAATTAATTTTCACAAATAAAAATGTGATATATATAATATTTTTGCACATTGAAAAACATGATAATTTAAACAAGGGAGACCAGAAATTACCTTTCTTACATCTGGTATAAACCAGCATTCTGATTTACCTAAGGGTTAACTGAAATATAAGTTTCTAAGATAATTGGGCTGCAATTGTCAAAAATTGTAAACCTAAAAATTCCCACTGGCATTTGTCTTTCTCTCTGTCTGCCTGTCCTTCCTTAATCTCAAGAATGGTGTCAATAGATGAAAATCAAGACCAGATATGGAAAGCTTAATGGTAGGAGGCCCCAATTAACTATATAAGAAAATTTTTGAATTGAAATAATGTGACTTCCAGTCCAAATTGAAAAACACACTATTTCAATTCAAAAATTTTCTCCTGAATGGAGTTAGATAGATGTATCTAATTCATGAGAAAATTTCTGTTGCATGACTCCATTGTTAACAGGAAAAGTATGATGTACAGGGGCAAGACATCACTAAAATTAAGAACATTGTGACAAAATATTGCAGACTGGCATTGGGATGATGTCATAATAAATAATAGCTCATTAATGCTGCATCTCAGTTGTTCTGTATAATTTTTCTGGCTGCCTTGTTGATAAACTTCACAAGCAATATATATAAATATAAACACATAGACAAAAGGTCTGACTTTTTCACATTCCTTTAGTGTATTTTGATTCCAATACATTGTTTTCATTAAAGGGCAATTTTATCTGATAATTGTCTCTGTTTAACTGAGTAGATGAGACTTCATTACATAATTAATATTTAAGATCTACATTTATTCTCAAGTTATTTCTGAAGAACATAACTTAAAAAATAAACATTATACCTAAGCCATAAAATAACAAAGATTATTGGATTATATGTAAAAAATTTGATAAACAAAAGATTACAAAAACTATTTTAAAATGCTCTTCATTTATTAGGCAATCATTCATTCACTGTTACAGCACTTAAATCAAAAATTTAAATCATCTAATTTCTCTAACCTGTAATTAATCTGGAAATGAATTTTAATACATAAAATATAAAAACTATCTTGCATTTTTTCTACTATATATTTTTAATTTTATCTCAATCTATATTTGGTTCTGGAAATTCACTTTTTACAATTGGCTTTATTTAATACAGTTTTTAATAATTAGCAACATAAAAAAAAACACATGCTGTAAATGCCATTTAACTTCTTTTTAAAATCAGTAATCAATTTGTGTCTCTATAAGTCCTTTCCTCATATAATATCATATATACACTTTAAAGATGAAATTTTAAGAGTACTGCCTAACTAGAAAACTATCACCATCCAATAAATAATTTCACTGAACTTGAATGACGCTTTATACAATTTTTTACTAGTAGGCTAACTACGAATTTTAACTTTATCTTAACATTTCAAATAAACTCTTTTATTGAATATGCTTAAGCAGTAAAAGTTGGTCTAAGTAAATGAAGTTTACTATCATGAATTTATTATAAATCATATTAAATTCTTAGTTGTTCCGTGTACAAGTCAAAAAAGTACTTTTAGTTATCAAGAAAAATTTTTGGAAATACATCCTATTAGTTTCTTGCTATTTACATACAATTCTGACAATGAAAAATTTAAACTATAACAAAAAAACAGCATATATATATATATATATTATATATTATGTTTAAGATTTTACAAACAACAAATACTTTGTTTGGACTTGGAGAATGTAATGGATTTAAAACTACTTAAATTACATAAATAATTTTTGAACACTACAAAAACTAACTGAAAATAGAACAAAAAACATTAAAAGGCCAAACAAGGTTCAAAATACAAAAAATAAAATATTTTACAATTATATTTGAATTCTAAATACTGCATAAATTTTTCTATTAATTGTCACTGTTCAATCATTATAGCCTGAATTTTTCATTGTTTGATATTTAGCAACAAGGAAATGAAATGAAGTTTAGGAAATATGTGTGAAATATTTTTATTGATAATTAGAATATTTTTAAAACTTAAAATTAAAAGTTACATATTAAAAAAAGTTAACACTTAATAGATTGAAACAATCCATAATAGGCCTACTTCAAATTAATTAATATTCTTTATTAAATTAATTTACATTTGTGAGAAATTGACAGACTCTTCTGTATTATTATAAAGACCTAAATTAATTCATAGTTACATAACTTAATGATTTAAAAAGCTCAAAACATCAGAAAATATCTAATTATGTGTTTAACTTAAATTCTAGGCTGAAATATTTTGTAAACTTAATTTACATTCAAAGTTCTTTCTTGTTTTTATTTTGTATTAATATCATTTAAAAACACATTATAAGAGAACATTTGCATTCCAATTTTTCAATTTGTCATAACTCTTAAAGTTCAAAAATTAGTACTTTAAACTATTGTTTTATATATGTTATTTTGTTAAAAATACTCACTTGAAAAATATTTGCTCATTTAATTTAAAATTATTCTTTATTATCTGCATTTTTCAAAGCATTTTTTAATTTAAATTATAATTTTATATCAAATCTTTAAAAAATTAAATCATACTAAATTACTATATGAAATACCATAAAAAAATTTTAGCAGCAAGAAAACAGCCTGAAGATGTATGTTTAAAATGACAAAAAAGACTTGCTTTAATTAAACTTTAGATTAACTTTCTTGCTGCTAAAAGGCTTCTCATGGTGTTTATTTTGTGATCCTTTATAAAGGTTTAATTTATAAATTAAATATTTATTTAGTGTGCAGAAAATTTATTTATTTCAACTTATCTTTGTCTATACATTAGATTATAAGATTTAACTAGAATCTTTCCCTTCAAATCCTGATCCTTTTAAAACTCATCCTATTCAAAGGATTCTTATGCAAAAAAATAAATAAATAAATAAAATTTCAAGAATAGATATGATTTTTAAAATGTTTTATATTGCAAAAATTATCTAACTAGTAATCATATTAAGTTCGTCATTGAAAGATTTCTCAGTTGACTCATAATTACAATAAAATCCCAATTATCTGAGCCCCTATTAGCTGATATGCTATATTATCCAAGGAGATCCCATAACCAAATACACTACTTTTCTTGTATCGTAATTCAAAACAAAACGTTTAAGACAATAATATGTATTACAAAATGATTTGTTTGTTACCTTTTATCATTTAACTTCAACATGAGACAAAACCATTCACATTAAAATGTAACTAAATTATACTGTCTNATAACAGATGATTTGACTAATTGTAAATTTCTTATTAAAAAAAATTATATCAACATTGTACATACATATTAGTTGGGTTGTTCTAGTGATTTTGTTCTGTACATATGGATTTAATTAACTTACTAATAACAATATGTAAGTTCCTGCTCACTCAGGCAGGAACAAAGAAATAAAGATAGTTGATCCAGTAGTTTAGAAAGTGTGTCCATGTCTGTCTTTTTTGAAGAATATGACCACAAGCAAAAATTAATTTTCACAAATAAAAATGTGATATATATAATATTTTTGCACATTGAAAAACATGATAATTTAAACAAGGGAGACCAGAAATTACCTTTCTTACATCTGGTATAAACCAGCATTCTGATTTACCTAAGGGTTAACTGAAATATAAGTTTCTAAGATAATTGGGCTGCAATTGTCAAAAATTGTAAACCTAAAAATTCCCACTGGCATTTGTCTTTCTCTCTGTCTGCCTGTCCTTCCTTAATCTCAAGAATGGTGTCAATAGATGAAAATCAAGACCAGATATGGAAAGCTTAATGGTAGGAGGCCCCAATTAACTATATAAGAAAATTTTTGAATTGAAATAATGTGACTTCCAGTCCAAATTGAAAAACACACTATTTCAATTCAAAAATTTTCTCCTGAATGGAGTTAGATAGATGTATCTAATTCATGAGAAAATTTCTGTTGCATGACTCCATTGTTAACAGGAAAAGTATGATGTACAGGGGCAAGACATCACTAAAATTAAGAACATTGTGACAAAATATTGCAGACTGGCATTGGGATGATGTCATAATAAATAATAGCTCATTAATGCTGCATCTCAGTTGTTCTGTATAATTTTTCTGGCTGCCTTGTTGATAAACTTCACAAGCAATATATATAAATATAAACACATAGACAAAAGGTCTGACTTTTTCACATTCCTTTAGTGTATTTTGATTCCAATACATTGTTTTCATTAAAGGGCAATTTTATCTGATAATTGTCTCTGTTTAACTGAGTAGATGAGACTTCATTACATAATTAATATTTAAGATCTACATTTATTCTCAAGTTATTTCTGAAGAACATAACTTAAAAAATAAACATTATACCTAAGCCATAAAATAACAAAGATTATTGGATTATATGTAAAAAATTTGATAAACAAAAGATTACAAAAACTATTTTAAAATGCTCTTCATTTATTAGGCAATCATTCATTCACTGTTACAGCACTTAAATCAAAAATTTAAATCATCTAATTTCTCTAACCTGTAATTAATCTGGAAATGAATTTTAATACATAAAATATAAAAACTATCTTGCATTTTTTCTACTATATAT